CTCGTACATATCAGCTACTCAGCTATACCTATTAGGAAAAATCTCCTTAAAATCAGTTCAGAGTTTCCAAAATTACCCGTGTAGTGTATGCATAAACGTAGTGTTGTTTGTCTCGAGCGTACACGCCATAAGTACATGCCGGAGAGAGGGGACGTCAGTCGATGTCAGACCTTTGAGCCGGCAACACGTGTCGGTACGTGAACGAGCCAAATATAGCACAACGAATGCTACATTGGCGACGAGGATAAAACCGTGAGTACGGAAATAAATTGTATTTGAAGAAAAAAAGGAAGGAGATGACCAATGTGTAAAAAAATAACATTTCTGTAATTGATGGACGAAAGTATTTTTTAAATTATTTTGCCTTACCTTACAAAAAAAAAAAATTAAATAGTAGGTAATGGATTGCCAAAAATAGCAACAGTCTTCTCTGTTTACATATGATAGTTATTTGTAAAACGTGGCCTTAAGTTGTTCCTAGTCGTGAATATTTTAAAAACGGTTCGGAATGTAAACTTAACCAATTGAATATCGAAATAAGATCACAATATTTGACTATCGGAGAAACAGATTCATTGCTGTGCTCGTCCGTCTAAGTTGTTCACTACAAAGTGCACTACGATGTCACGTCGAAATACATGTGCAAGCGACAAATTAATTCCGGTCTATTGATGAAGCAGGAAATGAATAATGAATAAGAAAAGAAAATATCGAACTATTACAATGATAAAATAAACATAACTTTACTACGAGGGTAGTATATCCACGACATATACATATATTGTCATGATTTCGACCAAAAACAATAATCAAATTCATTTTTAAGACTGTCTTCGACCTATGGTTGACAAATAGTGTGTAGATGGATAATAGCATTCGGCGATGTTAATCTCGGTCAACCTTATGTGTATACATAACTTCAATAACATAGGTACAGTCACCTCCAATAAAGTGTAAGTACTTTCGCACTTTCGCTTTCAACTTTCGCACGAACAGCGGCGGTTGTATAGACGAGATAAAGCGACGAATGGCAATCACTAGGTCAGCGATGGAGAATTGCAAAGAATGCAAAGAAAAAAGAACTCGGTTTGTACGATCGCTTGTACTCTTCATATTCCTTTATGCGTCGAAAACGTGAATCCTACGAGAGGGAGAAAAAGAAGATAGACGCGCTCGAGATGTGGTGCTGGAGAAGAATGCTGAAGATACCTTGGACCACCAATGTACTAAAAAGGCAGCGACTAGATGGCGTCTGGTAAAGTAGGTCATTGATACTTGATGACCATGACCAACCTGACAAAACTGTAACGACGAAGAAGAAGAACTTTCGCACTTGTCTACAGAGTATAGCTGACCATTAAATTGGTTAAATCATTGATGTCTTCCAAATATAAAAGAACCACGGCTGACCATTAAATTGGTTAGATCATTGAAGTGTTACAGGTATAAAAGCACCACGGCTGACCATTAAATTGGTTGGATGATTCATGTCTTACAAGTATGAAAACATGTCTAAAGACATAAAAGCACTACGGCTGACCATTAAATTGGTTAGATGATTCATGTCTTGCAAACATGAAAGCTGCATAGCGGACCATTAAATTGGTTAGATCAGTCATGTCTTACAGACGCGAAAGCAGCACGGCTGACCATTTAATTGGTTAGATCATCTAATCGTTAAATCGATAAGTTCATTTACAGCCTGAAAAGTTGTCAAGTACATAAATTAAGAAGATTGAAACCCTGATCGATAAATTGATATTACGAGTGGTAAGAAGTTTGAAGCTAAAATTTGTGTGAAGCAAACTGTTCACTAAATTAAGGTGAGAGGTATCTAAATTAAGGTGAGAGGAAATACATTATCTACAATAAAATCAAAATAATGACTATTAATCAACTATATGCCTACAGTACATGTTTTATAATTAGAAAAACCATCAACAAAACAAATCATCAATAACATGTCGTTTGTAAAGTTACAGATTAATAAACGCAGCACTCGGCGAGCAAGTCTAATTGTTGTGCCGAAAGTGAGTGGAAAGAGATATATGTATAACAAACGAAGGAGTACAGCTTCATAAGTTGTTACTGTCATCTTTATAAATGTAAGTTCAGTTAATCAATTTAAATCTAAGCTACCTGAATACATTTTAGATTTTTGTAAAAAAGTAAAGTAAATTTAAGTCAAATCAATGGCGACTATATTATGTACATTGTACGATATTGTTTACAAGTAAGTGACTTTTCCTTTGTCTTTTTGAGAGTAGTAATTCTTTTAACCCTGTTATAAGCACCTTACTACAAAATACGTAGTACAAAATGATATAAAATGTGATTGACTATTAGTCACGTTTTGTTATGAATATTTATAATATGTATAACGCAATTTCTAATATTATATTGCCAGTTACTAAAGTCATCATA